TGGTGTCCAATTAATGTTTTGAGTTACAAACATGATGCCAGAATTTTGCTTAATCTTAATTGATGATGTTCTGAGATGAATTAATTCTGAATTGAACAAATCTAGAATTTATCCTTGTTTTGGAAAATGATTTCACTAATATTAAACAAATGTAATGAATCACCAGCTAAATATTAGTTGTGTGATTGAGATACTGAAAATGGCTTATTTAACAGAGCATTTGTAATGGAATAGTACTTTGAAACCGGAAGAATATTCCTCTCCTATTCTTTTTAAAGTTGCCCAATTACTATGCATTTCTTTTCTGTAATAGAATTTTGATTCTACTTTATATTTGTTGTCTTGTGAACCTACTTCTTGGTGGTAATAAATCTAAAATAATTAAAAACAGAAACACTTTTGAAACAAAAGATAAAATGATCTTTAAATACTCATCTCCACTAATTTATTTATTTATTTAAAACATTTATATAACTGTCCATCTTATATAGGTGGTCCTTGACTTACAACCACAATTGAGCCTAAAATTTCTGTTGCTAAGTGAGACAGTTGTTAAGTGAATTTTGCCCCATTTTACAACCTTTCTTGCCACAGTTGTTAAGTGAATCACGGCAGTTGATAATAACATGGCTGTCCTTAAGGAAGCTCTGCTATGTATGTACAAGATAAGCTATAAACAGGAAAGTGCAGAATTAGAAGATGATCGAACATGAATAATATATTATTTTAGTCAATACTGTAGCATGACTTTCATTCTATGTGCAAATGTGACTACAAAACTTTGCTGGTACAGTGACTGGGATTTTGCCTGACAGAAATATCATATCTCCAATATTTTAATAAAGGCAATTTGGAGACTTTCAAAGTGTGTCCTGACTGAGTGGAAACAATGACTGAGAAGGGAGAAGGCTGCTAGAGGGTTAGCCACCTTGGTGGGATTCAGCCAGTTCCATCTGGTTTGGGCGAACCGGTAGTGGCAACTGCAGTACGCCCCACCCACACAACCCAACATAATGCCGTCCTATTTAGCCACATTTTGGAGGCAATGCGCATGCGTGGAAGGCGCGCATGCGAGCAAAGAGCATGCACAGGTGGTGCATGCACTCACATTTGCAAACCGGTAGGGAAGGTAAGTAAATCCCACCTCTGGTTAGCCAGGAGGATTTTTTCAAAAAAAAACCCCATATTATACTATATGCATTAATAAACAAGTCTTGCGGGCGGGGGGGGGGGGAACCAAAACAATTACAAACTTGTAAAACAATTTTCATTTACAAGAATGTTCCTGGTTCACACACAACTCTCATAAGCATTCTTCAAAATAGAAATGGAGAGAAGGAGAATTGGAATGTTTGCTTTCTGGCCCAGGTCTATACTGACCGGGTTGGTTTTTTTTTAAAAAAAATTGAATTACTGCAATTATTTTTTTAAAACCAACTTAAAGGATCCAAGCTAGTCTATTACATAACATCAATCTATAATACATGCAACAAAAAGGGAACCATAAATATGTTATCAACTCTGTCATTATTTATGGTGATCAAAATGTCAAGGTATTTATGTGGGTATTAATGACCTTAAGAGGTAATAGCATGGGTGAAATCCAGCAGGTTCTGACAGGTTCTGGAGAACCGGTGGCGAAAATTTTGAGCAGTTCGGAGAACCAGCAAATACCACCTGTCTGGCCCCAGAGTGGGGTGGGAATAGAGATTTTGCGGTATCCTTCCCCTGCCATGCCCACCAAGCCACGCCCACCAAGCCACACCATGCCCAAGCCACACCCACAGAACCAGTAGTAAAAAAATTGGATTTCACCACTGGGTGGTAGTGGTAAAGATGATGAGACTTTTTATATTAAGGGCCTGTTTCTACCTCTGCCCCCCACCCCCAAATATAGTGAATGAATCCTGTCTCTTCAACACAAACACTCTAAAGAACACCCAAAGTTTCATCTGTGTGTACAAGTGTCTATTCCAATGTATTTTTAAAAACTAAAATAGAATTTTAAACCCCTTTTTCTCAATTGACTTTTCCAAAAGTTAGAATACTGTTCTGTGGAAGTGTTATATTAAGCAGATATATGTTCTTCTGTTTCTGTACTAGAAAGCACTTCTTAGACCTTGAGTTTTTGTTTTTTTTAATTTTGATTTATATGCTGCCCTTCTCCGGAGCCTCAGGGCGGCTTACAATGCGTTAAGCAATAGCCTTCATATTTTTGTATATTTATACAAAGTCAGCTTATTGCCCCCACAATCTGGGTCCTCATTTTACCTACCTTAGAAAGGATGGAAGGCTGAGTCAACCTTGAGCCTGGTGAGATTTGAACTTACAGTAATTGCAGACAGCTTGATGTGAATAACAGTGCTTTAGTCTGCTGCGCCACCAGGCTCCTGCCTTAAAGATTAAAAGATATATCAAGAAACTCCTTTTATATTCCATGTAGTTCAGTATTTGTTAATGGGAAATGGAAATGGTTCGCCAAGATTTTAGGTAAGGAATCCTTCAGCCCAATTTATACGCATGAGGAAGTTGGGTCTTTGTAATACAAGGATGTGTGCTGTCAATGAACTGTGGCCTTTTGTTTTGCTAATGATAATAATGATACTTATTATAACATATGGAACCATGGTAAAATCTGCTTCAAGTCAAGCTCAACTCTTAAGAGACTTTCTCTCACCCTGTTTACGTTTCTATAATAAACCATAGGAACCAGCTCTTCAACCATATTTCAAAAGGATTGATTGCTGAAATTCTGCCTCTGTACAGCTTTGAAGCAATACAATTTGTGGCACTAGTTAAGAGACTAAATTTTCTATACAGGTAGCCTTTAAACTTACAACCACAATTGAGCCCAAAATTTCTGTTGCTAAGTCAGACGTTTGTTAAGTGAATTTTGCCCTATTTTATGTCTTTCCTTGAGTGAATCACTGCAGTTGTTAAGCTAGTAATATGGTTTTTAAGTGAGTCTTGCTTCCCCATTGACTTTACTTGCCAGAAGATTGCAAAAGGTGATCACATGAATCCAGGACCCTGCAGGCATCATAAATATGAATCAATTGCCAAGTGTATGAATTTTGATCATGTGACCGCAGGGATGCTGCAATGGTCATAAGTGCGAAAAATAGCAATAGCAATGGCAATAGCACTTAGAGTTATACACTGCTTCACAGTTCTTTTCAGCCCTCTCTAAGTGGTTTACAGAGTCATAAGTCACTTTTTTCAGTGGCGTTGTAACTTTGAGTGGTCACTAAACGAACTGTTGTCAGTTGAGGACTACCTATGGTTTGGTCTGTCATAATTAAAAGACTTTAATTTTGTGTTAATCTTGCCCATTTTGATTAAGTTAAAGCAATTTTATTAATTACACAGTACAAAATTTGATAAGTTTATTTTTTTCACAAGCTTCTTTTAATGTAAATGACATTTCATGCAAATTTAAGAAAATAAATTTATTAGTCTTTAAGGTGTCACCTTAAAGACTAATTGGTTATTGGTTAGACTAATGGTTAGACTAATATGGTTTTGGCTGCAAAACACCAAATGTGACCACTTTTCTGGAACCCTTTAAAAGGGAGCAGAAGTAGCTCAGACTCCAAGCTGATAAAAGCACTGTAGTCCATTACATTTGGAGGGCACAAGAAATTTTATATATAAAATTCTCCTCTCCTCTTAAGCATATTTCGGAAGCACCCTCGCACTACAGGTAGTCCTTGACTTACAAGCATTCTTTTAGTGGCCGTTCAAAGTTACAATGGCACTGAAAAAAGTGACTTACAATTGGCTTTCATGCTTATGACTATACCCATAATTACTGTACATGATCTAAATTCGGATGCTTGGCAACTGGCATGTATTTATGATATGGGCACTGTCCTGGGGTCATGTGATCACCCATCTGTAACCTTCCCAGCCAGCTTCCAACAAGCAAAGTCAATGGGGGGAAGCCAGATTCGCTTAATGACCGCATAATTCACTTAACAACTACAGCGATTCCCTTAACAACTGTGACAGGGAAGATAATAAAATGGAACAAAACTCACTTAACTATTGTCTTGCTTAGCAACGGAAACATTGGGCTCAATTGCAGCCGTAAATTGAAGACTACCTCTGTATCTGTATCATAAGGAGTAAACTGACCGTCAAGCAACCAGCCTGGAGTCAGGCAGTGAATTCTCCAGTTAAGTGAGAGATATTAACTAGGAGAGATGGATTTGTGGCCCTTCAAACCAGTGGTGAAATCTAAAATTTGTTACTACCAGTTCTGAGGGCGTGGCTTGGTGGTGGTGGTGGGTAATGTGACTGGGTGGGCATGGTCAATTTTTTTTTAACTTTTAAAACCATTTTTTTCTACAAGCTCTTTGGCAAAGAGGTTGTAAAAAAAATGCTTTCAAAAGGCTCTGACAATCCCAGCTTAGTTGCCTGATGGGCAGAGGCTTTTTAAAAAAGCCTCTGCCGATCAGGCAACTCAGTTTGGATCCTCAGAGACATTTAAAAGAAAAAAAGGGTTTTTTTCTTTTAAAAGCCTTTGACGATCCCAGCTGAGCCGCGCCATCATCAGAGGCTTTTTTTTTTTACTTTTAAAAGCATTTTTTTCAGCCGAAGAGGTTGTAGAAAAAATGCTTTTAAAAGTAAAAAAAAAAAGCCTCTGATGATTGTGCGGCTCAGCTGGGCAGGGCAGGGATTTTAGCTACTGGTTCTCCAAACCACCCGCCGCCATCGCTACCGGATGGGGCGATCCTGTCCGAACCGGGAGCATTTCAGCCCTGCTTCAAACGTGGCTTGAACTATGAACCCAGCATTTTACTTGTTTGTTTACTGCATTTACCGCTCATTTTTTCCCTGACGGCTCAAGGCAGCCGAGAGTGGGAACTTGAGCCTCAGCAAACTGCAAAGTGAGAGGAGGAGCCAACCAACCAGCTTAAAAGAGAGCAGTTGGCCCGCCCCTTTCCTTCTGCAGCACGCTGATTGGCGAGTTATTTTTCATTCTCCTTGATGTTTGAGGGAAAGGGGGAATATGGCCAAGTCGAGAGGAAGCTGTCTGTTTGATGCGGAGTGAAGGATGAGCGAACTGCACTTTAAAAGGGCAAATAATTGCCCGGCAAGGAAAGGTCTCACTGGGACCAACTGACCCAGAACCTTTGGTGGTTTTGGGAAGGGAGGGAGGGAGGAACTGATCCAGCCATGACATCTTGATGCAAACTTGCACGCGGTGGCATCCTTTGTGCAATGAAATCATCCCAATGACATCATGTTGTTGGCATTGTTGTGGCTTCCTCTTGTGTGCTTATTGTCAGGAACCTCGGTTTGTTTTCGAAGGAGCAGCTGCGTCTTGCCATCCTGATCTGTAGGGACGCTGATGGCTGGCTGGGTTTGGGCAAGCGGGCTCAGCCTCCCATGAGTATCAATCAACGGGGGCAACGCGTTGTCTGACCGAAATCCGCAATGAAAGAAGCGACGCTTGCCGCTGACCGACCCCCCCGGTCCCCCTTTTGCGCAGGCTCAGCCTCTCCCTCCCTCCACCATCCCCGGAGAAGCATGCCCACCGGAAGTGCAGCTGCAGCCACTAAGACAAGGTGGCTGCGCTCGAGGCTGAACTGGGGCTCCCCGCGCGCGAGAGCTGCCGGGGCGTGCTCGCCCTTCGCCGGGCTGCCGTCCGGGAAGACCGCGGCCAGCAGCGGGAGGAAGAAGAGGAGGAGGAGGAGGCGACGGCGAGCCCAGCCTTTCCACGGAATCCGTCCCGGCCAAGAACGAGGCAGAAGGTACCGACCAGAGGAAGGCGCAATGCTGGAGGAGCGGCTGCTGCTGCTGCAACCGCGCGCCCCGGTCCGGAGAAGGGAGACGCGCGGGAGTCGCTCCTCTTCCTGCAGCCTTGCCGGCCCTCTCTCGTCTTCCCGGGGGCCGTTTTAAAGTTTCGGGATGGCCGCCCCTCGGATTAAGCGGGAGTCACGCGTTCCAGCCGGGCTGCCGAGGAGAAGGGGAAACCCGGGGCGCGGCGGGTGCCGGAGAAGGCGGCTCCGCTGAAGCCAGCCTACCATGCCGGAATGGGGGCGCCGGGCTTGCGCACAGCCTGAGCTCGCCGCTGCTGGGCGGGAGGACGGCGCTGCGGTTTGGGAGCGAGGCCGAGGAGGGGAAAAGCGAGACGGGAAGGGGGCGGGGGTGGGGATGTCGCTGAGGGGAACATGGGTGCCTGCAATGGGGGCTCCAGAGTGGGAGCCTGTCTTCTGGGCGGGAGAAGCCTGAAGAGGAGCCCGACAAGGCGAGACGGCGGCGGCCGTTGAAGAAGAAGCTGCCTCGTCCCCGCCCCTGCCGGAGCTGTGCTTGAGCGTCGGGAGAGAAGGGGGATTGTCGCCGGCCCTGCTAGATGGCGAACTCCAGCGAGCTGGGAAGCAGCAGCAGCAGCCCCCACCTGCCCAACCCCGGCAGCCTCCTGGGCGCCTCTGGCCTGAAGCTGGCCTCCCTGGGCTTGATCCTTTGCCTCAGCTTTGCTGGCAACCTGCTCTTTGCTTGGCTCATCCTCAAGGACCGCCAGTTGCACCGGGCCCCTTACTACTTGCTCCTGGACCTGTGCCTGGCGGATGGCTTGCGCTCCCTGGCCTGCTTCCCCTTCGTCATGCTTTCGGTGCACAGCGGGGCAGGCTTCTGGCCCCACGGGCTGCTCAGCTGCAAAGTGCTGGCTTTCCTATCGGTGCTCTTCTGCTTCCACGCCGCCTTTCTGCTCTTCTGCGTGGGGGTGACGCGCTACATGGCCATTGCCCATCACCGCTTCTATGCTAAGCGCATGACCGGCTGGACCTGTTTGGCCGTGGTGTTCATGGTGTGGACGCTCTCCATGGCCATGGCCTTCCCCCCTGTCTTTGACGTCGGCACTTACAAGTTCATCCGTGAGGAGGAGCAGTGCATCTTTGAGCACCGTTACGTCAAGGCCAATGACACCCTGGGTTTCATGCTCATGCTTGCCACGGTCATGGCGGCCACCCACCTGGTTTACGGCAAGCTCCTCTTCTTCATTCACAGCCACCGCAAAATGAAGCCGGCCCAGTTGGTGCCGGCCATTAGCCAGAATTGGACTTTCCATGGGCCTGGAGCTACTGGTCAGGCAGCTGCTAACTGGACGGCTGGCTTTGGCCGGGGTCCTACCCCTCCTACCTTGGTGGGCATCCGACAAAATACTACTCATAGCCAGATCAAGAGACTGCTGGTCTTAGAGGAGTTCAAAACGGAGAAGAGGATTTGCAAGATGTTTTACATGATCACCCTCCTATTCTTGCTTCTCTGGTCTCCCTACATTGTGACTTGTTACTTACGTGTCTTCATCAAAGCCAGCACAATCCCCCAGATTTATTTGACCATCTCAGTCTGGATGACCTTTGCCCAGGCAGGAGTCAACCCCATCCTTTGTTTCATTTTCAACAAGGAGCTTAGAGTCTGTTTCAGATCTCACTTCTTTTGCTGCCAAAGCATCCAGAACACTCAAGGCACAATTCTGTGTGATCTGAAGAACTTGAGGATATAATTCATTTTCTTTCCTTAAGGAAAAAAAAAGTTAAAAATGTCTATGCTTATTCTGGCATGTGCACTTGCTAATGATTATCTAAGCAAACCCCTTGGTCTCGCCAAACCAATAGTTTAAAATAGGGTATTTATATTCAGATTTGATCTGAGAGGGGTTGGGGAATCTTTTATGTGTCTCTGGAGAGTAGGAAAACAAAAAAAACAAGACAAAGTCCATTTTTCCCCCACTCTGTTCTGAATTTCTATAGATAATTCTGACATGGATTAAAGGCCATAATTTTGTGTTAATTTTTCTCCCAATCTCTCCAGTTTTGATAAAGGTTTAGCAATTTTATTCCTTAAGTAAAATTTGATAAAAGGTCAAGACAAAATTTTGTAGTAAAGTTATTTTTTGATGACTTCAGAATCTTGTATTGTAATATTTGTCTTTCAAGAGCAGTGGAGATGGAGAAACTGAATCTAGAAGTCACTTCTTTGTAGGGAGACTTGGGGCTAATTTTGTTTCAGTACTTAAAGGTAACCTCCTGGCCTTGCCTGAAATATGGAAACTGTCTTATCCTGATTATACTAGAATCATTAGGTCATTTCCTGTAACCTAATGAACATTGTGTCACCTGATCTGATGTAGAACTACTTTAAATTTTCTTGTTGTACTGTTTCTTTGATAGTGTTTCAGAAACTTAATGAAAAATGGTAATTTTAAAAAAGAAAAAATGATCAACTTTTAAAACTGTATCAGGTTTTTAAATTATACTGCCTTTCATACTTTATTGGCTTTATAAGTTCCTATCTACAAACTGGATAACACTTGTATGTTTCAACTGTTTTAATAAAACACTCTCCAGTTTTTGTACACACATGAATTTAAATGTCTGGATATGCTTTGCTGATACTGTTTAAATAAGCACGATTTGCTTACAGACCATTCAAACAACTTTTTTTTTAAAAAATCACACCTTAGAGTCACAGTCTGAGCCCTTAGTATAAGGGTACCAAACTCACGCCATCACAGTAGCGTCACATGACATATCGTGACCCCCCCCCACTTTGCTAAACTGTGTGTGGCATCTGCCATGGGCTGCGAGTTTGACAGCCCTATCATAATATGATTCCTTATTTTAGAAAATTAAGTAGGATTGGACCTAGTTGGGACTTGGATGGGAAATGTCTAGAAAATCTTGGGGTGTTGTCCACACTATGGAAGAAGGCAATGATGGACTACTTCCTTCTACTCGTCCAGGAAGTTAGTGAACCAACTAGACTCAAGAGACTTTAATTTTTTTTTTCATCTATTCCGGTATGCTCTCATAGGATTCTCATTGGTTTCACAAAATACAGATTTTAAAACATTTATGTATTTTATTTATATAGCCACCCATCTCACAAATGGAACAACAATCCAATAACATCCAAAAACATAAAGTACACAAACCAGAAAATCCAGTCCAAGAAAAACAGAAGACAGGCATCAAGCTCCAACCTTGTCTAGAAGAGCTGATTTTAAATTCCTTTGGAAAGTAGCTAGAGTCAGGGTTAGTTTAACATAAAAACAAGCCCTTTCATGCCTCAGTTGCCCACACCTCCTCAGAGAGGAGAACCACACACTTCTTGCTTTTCCTGGCAAGTTCAAGTCAGTGGAAGCAATTCTAATGTAGCCCTGAAGGTACTTGGTGACAAACCATAAAGGACTTTATAGGTTAGCACTAGAACTAAGTTGAACTAGAAGCTAACATGGGTTCTGCAGCATGGATTTAATAAGTTGTGACTGCTGAATGCCTGATAATGCATGGGCCACTGCATTTTGGACAAAATGCAATGACCTCTAAAGGCAGCCCTATGTAGAACCCATTATAATAGTCAAATTGAGTAGTGATAAGGTGACCTAATAAAGAAGTTGTGCTTATTTCTGACTACTTATAAATAGAATTATGTTTTTATATTATAAAGAGAACATTCTGTTAATGATATTTTAGGGGCATAAGTAGAATGACTACCTTCCTCCTGACATACATATCTGCCCAATGTAATTTCTATTTAAAAATAGCTGCTCATCTGCTAATGCCAGAAGAGTCTCTAGACAATTCTGGATTGCAAATTTTAGTAGACAAAGCAATTCCTGTGCATAATTGCTTATCTGTTTATGTGTTTGCACAGTTACCAGTGTATTTTAAATTTCCAGTGCCCTAGCATTTTTAAAGATGCAGATTATGAACTTTTAAAGCTTTTAAAATAACCTTTATTTACTGCCCTGATTTACTTTTAGAAAATAAGCTAAGAGCCTCTTTTTTATGTCTATTTTTAATAGCAAAGAGGCCAAAGGTGTTCAAAACTGAATGATCAAAAATCATATCTCTTCCAGAACTTTCAAAAATGGAAATGTTGCGATGTTTGATAATACAGCACTGACATAGTAAGAAGCAATGTGGCTTTTTAAGAAATAAGGAAATGGGAATACATAGAATCTGTTCAAAGTATTTAAACTTTAAATGAGATCTTATTTCTCTTAAATTTCTGAATTGTCTTCCTTTCTAAAAAAAAGCTCTCATCCCTTTGATTCAAGTGAACTTTCTATTGTAGTTGATGATGTGCTATCAAGTCATTTCAACTCTTAGTACCCACACAGATTTTCTCCAGGGAATTCTACTTTAATCTGGTGCCTTAGATCTTCCCAACAGGGCACACAGTGTCACTGTCACTGAATTTATTAATTTGATTTTGATAGCTGCCAGCTCACATACATAATTCTGGGCATCTTACAAAATGAAAACACAATACCAAAAAAGAAAAAAGAAAGGTAAAAATAACCATACATGGTTAGAAACCTTAAAACAATGCAAACACCATATAATCAATGCACAAGCACAGTCAATTCTGGAACAACCATTTATAAGGCTACCACTACTTGATCCCCAGTCCAGATAACAAAGCCAGGTCTTCAGGCCTTTTCGGGACACTGCCTTAACCTTGGGGGGAAATGGTAGGTAGCAGAAAAGAACCTCCTTCTGGATCCAATCAGATGGCACCCTCTAATTTTAGAAACCTCCCACAGCTAATGGGACTGCTAGATGAAATTGGGGAGAAGTGGCCCCTCAAATAACCCTTACCATTAAGCTTATGCAAGATTGCAATGTACAAACTCAACCCACACATGCTTTTGATAATTCAATAACGTGAGTTCATTTTTAAAAAATTGAGATAATGTAACTTCAGATCTACACAAGGCACAAAACTATAAAACGTTGGTTTTTTTCCACATTTCCTGATCTTAATTTTTGCAATTTGTTATCATCCAAAAAGCAGGCCAGAAATTAATATAAACTTAATTAGTTATTGCCTTAATTTTTAATACAATATTGAGAAGCAACTTAGACATCAGAATGTTGATAAGGCTAGCTAGATAATCCACAAATTACATAAATCATCTTAGAGGCACTCATTGTAAACTGGAAAACTAAAATGGTTAAAACTCACTAGGTTATGAATGGTCCCAAAACTTATAGTGGTTAAATATAATTCAAAAATATATTTTTTTAAAACTGGGACAACAATATTAATTCCTAAAATAAGATTTAAACAGACAAAAGCAAGTGACATATAGCTTGTTAGACTAAAATGCAGTTGGCTAGTTTCTGCTGCAATATGAACCTGGCTTGTATTTTATCTGAGGCTGTGCAAACCCAGATACTTGGCTTAATTCAAGAGATCATTGTTTAATAATGTTATGGTCAAATACAACTAATTTGTAAAAGAGAAAAGAGTCTTAAGAGAGGTATCACTTCCAAATACTGTATATTTAATACATGTTTGTATACTTTTCTATTTTCAATTTCATATTTTTGAAATTACAAAACAGCAGCAACAACAACCCTGCACAATCTGCTGATATAATCATAATCATAAGTTTATTTGTCAAGCATATATAAGATAACAGGTAAAAGTATAAACATAATTTGAATACATGAAAAGAGTAAGTAAAAAGGAATATTAGGACAGGGACGGTAGGCACGCTGGTGCACTTATGCACGCCCCTTACAGGCATACGCCCCTTGCATATTTTTTTAATTCAATTTAGACACCACTTCATTCCAAAGTGATTGGGCAGTTCACAATATAGTCACAATAAAATGCAATGAAAAACAAAGTAGGTTGGAATCTGGTCATTCTGTGCAAAACATAAAAGTGCATTCAACAAGGAGCTCCATCATATTTCATTAGTATTGATCCAAATGCTGAATGTTCAACAGTAGTAAATAAATTGGAACAAAGGCAGCTATCTATAATTTTCTAAGTTAATTTGTGAGGAAGCATATCTGTGAAGAATTTTCTTTTCATAACTTCTGTTTGGTGTGTAACTATTTGAAAGATACGAACTGTTAATCCATGATATAATGCATTCAAGTTCAGGAATTATAAATATTGCTTGTTGAACATAAATCACATTGTATTTAGTGAAATTTCCATACACTAGTGTAAGTAAGCATATTTGCAACAGAAAAACTAAACCATATATATATACTAAGGCTAGTGATGCAATATCCATTATATAATGCCTGTCAGAACTGGTGTTATGTAAAAAAAGGCTTAAATAACATTTTAACATGCTATATGATCCCGAACCAACCCCCCCCCCCCCCCACAGTGCAGCACATTGCCTTGGAGTATAGAAATCTCACACCTCACAACATTATATGTCATTCAGTGGAACAGAGTCTAGATTACTTGATTTGGTTTGTGGCTCAAGGTTGACCAAAACAGTTTAGATTCACTCTTTGATATCTCCAGTTAAATAACATTAAATAAAGAGGACCAGAGAGAAGGTGATATGAAGGATCTTTTCCTGTCAGTAGACAACATTTAGAAAAATGGTATAATACAGATAGTCCTTGATTTATGACCACAATTCAGCCCCAAATTTCTGTTGCCAAGTGAGAGAGTTGTTAAGTGAATTTTGTCCCATTTTATAAACTTCCTTCCTATAGTTGTTAAGTGAAGTACTGCAATTGTTAAGTTAGTAACATGATTGTTAAGTGAATGTGGCTTCCCCATTGACTTTGCTTGTCAGAAGGTTGCAAAAGGTGACCCCGGGACACTGCAATGGTCATAAATATGAATCAGTATTCAAGCATCTTAATTTTGATCATGTGCCCATAGAGATGCTGCAACGGTCGTAAGTGTGAAAACCAGTCATAAGCAGTGGTGGGATTCAGCCAGTTCGCACCACTTCGGGAGAACTGGTTGTTAACTTTCTGAGCAGTTTGAAAAACTGGTTGTTGGAAGAAATCATTAGGGCAGAGAACCGGTTGTTACATTACTTGAATCCCACCACTGGTCATAAGACATTTTTTTTTAAGTGCTGTTGTATGTTTGAACGGTCACTAAACAAACTGTTGAAATTCAAAAGGCTACCTGTATTTTGACCAATGGACATCTGAAAGTTGAGAACTGCTGGGTCATCTTTAATGTGAAAAACTGGCTTACCTTAATAATGATGGTTTTTCTCAGCTTAATTTTTTAAGAAGAATATCTTGCATGGGATGAGACAGGCATATAATGTGATGAACCTGGAAAAGGTAGGCTCTCTGCCAGAATATGAGAGATATAAGGAATAAAAGAAGAGGAAGCCCAGAATCTATGGGAGGTGGATACATGGTTTTATTTAAAGATAAAGATGTGCTTCAATTTTCAAATATTTATTCTGAAATTTTCAATGGTGCTTTGGCGAGACAAGTGGCATAAAAGTTTAATAAATAAAAAATAATAATGGTGGAACATTTTGAGACTTTAGGTTTAAAAACCATAATTCTAGTAGGAATAATATTTCTTTTGAAACAGTATAAACCTGTTATGATTTCTCCTCCTTAAT